ATGAAAACATTTAAATCTATAATGACAAAATAGCTTTAGCATTTGATCTTGACAAGTCAAAATGATTAAATAAACAAATAAAAATAACAATATTTACTAAATAAAAAAATCATTATGTATGAAATCAACATTTAATTAAAATTCATATATATATATATTATTTATTTTTGTGGGGGATTTATCAGAATAATTCATAAACATGGACACACAGTCCACGAGGGTAAATAACTAAACGCAGTTTATGCCACGAAAACAAATGTGGATACACAGTCCACGAGAGTAAGTAACCAAATACAACCAAAGCCGTGAAACAAATATGGACACACAGTCCATAAGGGTAAGGGTAACCAAACGCAGCTCAAAGCCATAAAACAAACGTGAGTATGAGACCCACGAATAACAAATGTGAGAATAAAACTCATGAAAATCAAACTAGCTAGTTATTGACCATGGTGCGTCAAGGGCTAACAGAACTGCCGTTAGCAACCAGTGTTTGCATAAAATCCCCTCCAAATCCATTTGCAAACATGCGAGAAAATAATTATTATTAAATAAAATTTTCATTTTCAATATTGAACTCGCATGAATCATTTTCTGTATCAATCTAATATTTGATAGAATAAAAAAATAAAAAAACTTCATAATCAAAGTCCAAACTTGTTTTAATTGATCAAATAACATTTCAAATCTGGTAAAGATAATTTCTCAAAATAAAGTAATTTTAATTAACAAATATCCAATAATCACATTATTACTATTAAAATGATTTGCAAAAAAATGCAATATTTTAGTAAAGGAAATTTTGATTGAAAAAATCAGTTGGGATGCTATCCACTTACCTGACATGTTCTCAAATGTAAAATTTACTTTAAATTGACACTCTTGCAATAATGCTTTATCTCTAAGTTCCTAATGTCTAGTTAATATCATTGTCATTTTCTTATATGCCTTATCATTCAAAATCTCCAGTCCAAAAATGATTAAAAATAAAAGATAAAAGTCTCAACTTCAAACTTTCTCAATCATCACATCAAACACTCCACAAATATTTCAAAGATGAATATATATATAAACAACAATTTGGCCTTGAATCACCAACAAAATATCTTTTTCAAAAATCTCTAATTTCAAATCTTCTATTATAGAAAATAAGTGTCTTCCATATTTATAAATGACCTAAATTTTTTTATCGAAACACCAAATGTACATTAATTCCAAATCCATCCATAAAGCTTTTTGACATTCACATATTTTGCCTAACAATTTCTTCATAAGCATAGCTGCATTATCTTTATGATCAAATTTTTATATAATATCAAACTCAATTCACAAGATAGTAGCATCCAAGCCACTCAGTCTCAAAAAATTTAATGAAATTTTAGAAAATGCACAATCAAGCAACTCCATCTTCCAAGCATTTTATCAAACATATTATGGGCACAATTCTACAAATTTCATGTTCAAGTTCTTCTATCCAAATCCCATCCTAACCAATTTTTCAACATCAACCATTCCTAACAAAGATAATTTAACTCAAAATTCTAACTTATACTTATCATAATTATGTTTTAAGCGCATAAATTTCCAGCTTACGTTCCTCTCTCTCTCTCTCCCCCCTCCTTCTTCTCCTTATTTTTTTTAACAGATACGAACAATAGCAAAAATTCAAGAGAAAAAATTCCAACTTCAACTCTATCACATCTTATACTACACGGCACAGATTTTTTTAAGGAATATAGAAAAAATCATGATTTCTCATCTCAATAGAAACAGCAGGAAAGAGAGACAAAAGGCGAGGAATGTCCAAATTCAAAGCTAAAACACAAACAGGAAAAAGAGATTATGCATCAGGACTGGAAGGAGAAGAGGAAAAATTTGATGCTCAATCTGTCACAGTAGCTCAGTTAAAGGAAGGAGAGGAGAAGTTCACCGTGAAAATAGGGGAAGAAGAATACCAACACACGAACACAACAGCACCGTTGAAGGAGGAGGATTTCAGCGTTTTCCTCCAATTACTAGCTGCGGACTAAGAGAAATGAAGCTAAAGGAAGAAGAAGATTTGAACAAATTCAACCCACGGACAGAGATGCTAGTCAATGCCGGCGATCACCATAGGAGAAGAATGAATACTCCTGACCCAAGCTTCTTGCACGGCAGATCATAGTAGTCGCACAACCCACGCTAGAGGAACTGGAACGGAAGGAGAGGAACGATGGCTGGTACGGAGCTCTCCTCTCTTTTCTCTAGAACCGAATCAAAGAGGATGAGGGGAAAAAATATCTGGTCCTCATCTGATATGCTCCCCCCACATTATTCTCTCTCTCTCTCTCTATATATATATATTTTCAACAAAGACATTGCAATAATTTCACAGGCTGAAGCAAAAGCCAAAAATAATCATCATCATCATCTTGTGCTCCACAAAAATTTGAACTCTGAAACAAGTAAAAACTCAGAATAATTTTCACTAAGTTATCCATTCACTTTATTATAACTACCTCAAAATTTATAAAAATACAATCAAAATATGCTATTATTAATTAATTTTTTTAATTTTATTATTTATTGTTATTATCATTATTTGTTTTGTTTTATTATCTTATTATTTATTATTATTATTACTATTTTGTTATATTTTTTAAGAGTTATTACAAATCACTACTTACCCAAACTATTACACATATCACAGATGTTTCATACTAACATACACTTGTAACTTAGCCTAGTTACAATGCTTAACCAAACATTCACGTAAGGCTAAAATGTCACAAAATTGCATCATACAAGTATAGTTTCAATTGTTGCATCAAGTTATACTATTCTTACACTTGTACTAGTATTTTAGCCTCACCACCACATGTACTACAAAATCATACAATCTTGAGCTAAAATACAACACAACATAATATCATACAAGTGCTATTCAAAAATCATATGCATCCCTAGTTGGCAACAAAAATGCTATTTATTTACATTCATGTACGCAAACTCAAAATGTATACAGGGCATTACAGCTAATGGAATACCTACTTTTTGCCCTTCTCTTTCCCTTGTCCCTTATCCATTTCTGATCCTGTAAAATAGTAATCATAGGGTGAGACAGAGTCTTAGTATTTGGAATGATCTACACTACTAATTAACAAGTAAAATCAAAGACAAAAAATAGAGAAAAATATTTAAAACATGTTCACACCATAAATTTATATCACATAAATATCATGCATGATCATATATCCATTTGAACCTCCATTACTCCTGACTAAACCTATAGACTATAACATTAGACCAAATCGCATAGTTTGGTTCGAGCTCACCTTTCATGGAAGAATTGCTCAACCAAAGGCATTCGAATCCACTTTCAAACTATGGGTTCGCCTTATTAAAAATAATTGGGGTGTCGTTACTCAACACCACACCCTTCAAATGCTAAGGAGTGTGTTTCTCTATCACCGCACCCTTCCAGGTGCTAAAGAGAATGTGTTAGTTGCACTAGGCGTCTTAAGGTGTCAGCAATACCATATGAATAATTATCACTACTTCCTTTAGGGTGAACTACCACCCTTACAAGACATACTCTAACATTCATCTCATAATCATACATATGCAAGTCATATATTTACATCATATCTAAATAAACATGCTTTAGTATTAATGTAATAATTACACATTCAAAAACACTTTTATCATATAATTAAAATATAATTTAAAATTGCCTATCTATTCAAAAAATCATTTCTTTTTTCCTACTCAATCTTCTAAAACACACATATATACATATATCTACTATATGATTCCACAAATGACTTGTAAACAATTTTAAAGGTAATGAATAGTATAAATTATTCGGTTACCTCAACTTTTTTTGACATAAAAAGGGTTATGGCAGCCAATGTAAGCTCTTATAGATTCTCTAACCTCAAAGACATTAAGCACTATATGTTAGTTCTCCAACTTAGCATACTTACTCTTTAGCTAAATTTAATTAGATTTAGCTACCCACAACTCATAACTTTTATCATTGAGTTTTTTAAAACTACAACCAACTCACACCATCTCTTTTATCTCCCATTTAACTAAATCACACCATTAATTTACTCATACAACTTTAAAATCCCAAAATCAAGTTAGGCTTTATACAAATTTCCACACCCCATAACTACACTTCATAAAATCACTCACCCCAAGAACAAGAAACCTAAATCAAACTCTTAGAGTCCCATGTAAGCCCGTATACATGGATCCTTAGCTTTTCTAACTCATAACCACTCCCAAATTATATGGAAACAAGATAGAGAGGTAGGAGAAAGGAGTAGGAAGCTTACCCTAGAGTTTGAAGATCTAAACTAGCTTCCAAGATTGCCCCAGTGGATGCCCTAGTAGAGCCTAACTTCTTCTCCTTCAAGCTCCCCAAAAACTCAAGCTTTCTTATGATTTATTCACTAAAGCACAAACTTATTAATCAAACTTTAAGTCCATGCACCGTGGCTTGTGGTACAACAACCAAAACTTCATTCTTGCTTTCCTATCTCAACTCAATCTGATCTAATCTCCACCCTAGCCTAACTTTGAAGTTGCCCAATAGTTTACAAGGTCAATTAACAACCTAGAAACATGATTAACTTCATTAATCTACCTATTTACTAATTTTACCCTTAATTAGCAAATATGTTCCAGATTAGAAAACTTAAGATGTTACATATTTAATTATAAAAATCAAGAAGCGACTACAAAAGTAGTATTTACTTAAATAGGAAAACCAAATGGCATCTTCAACATGGAAGTGCAATGAAAATCATGGAATTTGTGTGTTAAATGTGTTTCTTTCAAACTTCATAGACAAGCAAATAAAAGTATTGTTAAATATTTATACACTTGTATAACAAGTATTTATATAATTAGTATAAGTTAAACTATGAAGAGAACAATTTCAATGTAAATGGAAAAGAAAAAACAAGATAAAGGAAGATGTTAAGTCACCGATAATAACTTGTGCCAATTCTTTATGGCATTTGGTGTTGCATGCACTCTTCAATTTCTTCCTTACTTGCTACACGCCATCCGCACTTTCTTATTAACTCTACCTTTTCACTTCTATCATTAGCAAGTGACGATTCCCAAGTTGTTTGAAATTGTATCTCAACTTGGTTATTGAAAGCATTTTTCACATAAGAGGGAGGCACAACAGAAAAATACAAATGAGGGTTTTTGGCTTCCGAATCATGTAACCCAAATCCAATGCTGTTGCAAAGAATTGAAAAGTAACCTTTTAGGTTCATTGGCCTTTTCGGGGCCACATTTTGTATCACAACACAAACAAAAATTCTATAGCTTTCACTTGAACCATAAAAATGAGAAGTGTCTACTTTTATTGAGATGCAACTTTTTTCATCGTCAAGAAAATCAAAGTCTTGATTATAAAACCAAGGTGGAATTTCACTCCCTGGAGCAAAAAACCAAGGTCTTGAATCTTGTACTTTATTATTATAAGATGATAAAAGAAATCTACATAGCAAATATGGAGATGATAAGATTCTCATTGATGGATGACAACAAACTGCATCAAGAAATTCAATATTGGGTGGAACATCTGGCAATGATAAAAGCCTTTTGCAATCAACCAGGTAAAGATCTCGTAGAGCCTGGAGCTTAGAGATGAAAGTAGATGGTAGATTAGTAAAATTGTTCCCTGATAGATATAATACTTCCAAGGATGATAAGGGACTAAGATCATTAGGAATTGAACCATCATAAAGATTACAATTTGCCAAACATAAACTTCTCAATGAGGACAAACTTGAGAATGAAGGTGGAAGAACGTAACTTCCAGAAGGTAGGTTGCTGAAATCATTTTCACTAAGATCAAGACACTCCAAAGATGGTAAGCAACCAAGATCATTTGGAATTGATCTGACACTTAGATTACAATTTCTTAACTTCAATTCCCTCAATGAGGATAAGCCAGAGAAAGAAGGAGGCAATGTCAACCTCAAGGGAGCCTTATAACTATTGAACCCAAAGACCCTTAGAATTGGAGAAAGTAAGCTCAGTGAAGAGTCTAGTACAATTCCATTGCATCCATTTGCATTTAGTTTCTTCAAGCATTTTAGGCCAAGAATGGATGAAGGTATTTCTTTTACAGAAGATTTACTGACATCAAGCTCCTCTATACTTCCAATTTCATCCAAATTTTCTGGTAATGATGAAAATTTTGTGCAACCAGATATATCAAGAGTTTTGAGAGATTTTAGGTTATCAATAGTGCTTGGAAGACATAAAAGATTTTGGCAATCCTTCAACTTCAGAATTAACAAATTTTTCATATTTTCTCCAAACTCAGGAAGCCTTTTAAATTTGTAGCAACTAGAAAGAACCAATTTTCTTAGAGAAACCATTTCCAACCTACAAGGAAGTGTTTTTAGATTTTTACAACCTTCTAAATTCACTTCAATAATTTTCTTATGATGTCCAAGTGATGGATGCACCTCAACAAGTTTAGTGCAACCTTTAAGAGCTAGTTGCTCCAAATTTGGTAGCAATGAAAAATTAGGAGTTTGAATTAAATCTTTCGAATGGCTCAAATCAATGATCTTTAACTTCCCTGACATCTGGTTCAAACAAGGCATAGAACATATTAGATTTTGCAAATATATATAGAAATAATAATTTTGATTGATATGGTAATTAAAGAAAATGTTCATACCTGGGTTTCATTCCAAAGTTTTGTGATTTTACTATTATGCATTTTGATCTGAACGAGCTCATTTGGTTGAACACCAAGTGGGAGGGATTTTAATGGATATTTCTCCCAGTCAAGAATTTTTAATGAACTCGAAAAACATTCAAGTCCCAAGGGGAGGCACACATCACATGATTTGATGCTAAGTATTCTAAGATTATACATCATTAAGAATACTTCAGGACCCCATCTTGTTTCAAGTTGCTTAGACAATGATTCAAGATGTATAATCTCAATCAAGCTAGTTCCCTGATAAAAAAATGATCAATTAAGTAATTATGAATAAGCTTACTAATCAAAACATATTTTACAAAGTTATAATAATAATACAGTAACTAGAATTGAAGGAACTTGCCTTATTTTTGGTCAGTACATGAATAATATCCTCTATTGACCATAACCGACTACGTCTACTAGCATCACTTGGTGATTCCTCTGAAACAATACTTTTCCCCATTTCTTGTACCATATCATGCATACCCAAATACCATTTATTATGATAGTCTTGATATTCAAATAACAAGCATTTCTCCACAAGTTTTCGTATTCCAATTATTGGATGAAAACCACAAATGTCTAATACGTGTATCACTTTATCTTTTTGCATTCCTTTGAAAAAGCATGCAATATCTAAAAATATCTTTTTCTCCAAATGATCTAATGCATCATAACTTATTTGGAGTTTCTTCAAAATGTCATTTGGAGGAACTTCCTTTATTTTCTCCAAAGCATCTTTCCACTCAAGTATACTTTCTCCATAAAGATAGCATCCCAATACTTCAAGAGTCAAAGGAAGGCCTGCAGCAAACTTAACCACACTTCCAGACAACTCTATATAGTCTTCTATTGGTTTGTCCCTTTTAAAAGCCTTTTGGCAAAACAATTGAAGAGATTCCTCATCATTCAATAATTTTGCCTCATACATGTCAAATTCTCCATGTGTTTTCAATAGCTGCATATTCCTAGTTGTGACTATTACTCTACTTCCTGGACCCAACCAAGTTTGCTTTATGGCAAGGTATTCAAGTTGGCTCATGTCACTTACATCATCAAGTACTATCAAAACCTTTTGGTTGCATAGAACACTTATCATTTTCTTCATTCCATCATATGCATCATTGAATTCTATGCCCTTCAGCTTCCTATTATGTGAAAGAAATTTTCTCTGCAAGGGAACTAGTCCTTCCTTTTCACAAACATCCTTAACATTAGCTAAAAAGTAACAAAGATCAAACTGATTATAGTTTGTCTCATAGATAAATCTTGCAAGAGATGTTTTTCCTATACCGCCCATCCCCCAAATTCCTAATAGGCGAATATCATTAAGTCCTATCTTTAAAATTGAATCAACTTCTTTTATCTTTGACTCCATTCCAACAAATTTGTTGATTTTATGACATGGCAGGATACGCTGTAGTTTTGTCCATACACCAGCAACAATTTCTTCGATGAATTTTGTTTCAAGCCTACATGAAAGAGAAGATAAAGAAAAAGAGGTTAATTAGTATTCTTAAATTTTGTAAAATAAAAAAAACTAAAAAATAATAAACTAGACTATAGTGAAAAAGGGAAACAAAACATACAACAACAAAGTTATATGTTAAATTTCACTTAATGATTATTACTTATAAAGCATATTATCTCTTTTAACGTTTAATTAAATTAAATTTGGTATGTATGTTTCAAAAATCTTTGACAGAGTTTATCTTTTTCTGCTGGTAAAATTATTCTCGACATGCATATTTTTTTGAAATATAACTTTTATGGCATTAAAAATAGAAAAATTAAAATCATAAACTCATTTAATATTTTTACTGTCATACTAAAATTATTAGAAATATCAAAATAGTAGTATATAAAAAAAATAAAAAATGTTAGTACAAATCTGCCCTCAATAAACGTTAGTACAAATCTGCCCTTAATGTTTCCTGCTAAATGCATCCCATATCTTAAAGTATTTTTGGGATCAATTCCATCCCAACATTTTTCAAAATGGTACAATGTCACCCTGCCATTAAGTTTGATCTGATGGATTGTTAGTTTGACCATTAATCCTAATTTTGGCAAGCGCATGGCATATTTTTAAAAACAAAAATAAAAAATAAAAAAGACCCAAACCCAGATGAAAATCATCAATGATTATGATTATTCTAAGTTTATCATCTTTGAACGGATGTTAACCTTCAAAAATCTAGGCTCCACCTTCTAAAACAGATGCTATGCTAGCTCATACTGGTAGCAACATGAGGACAAGGAGTAAGAAGAAGAGGAGGAGGAGGTGAGGATTTGTAAATAAGATTAGAGTTTGGATCATGAACAAGATCTAGGTTTGGAAGGGGGAAGTGGAAGGGGTAGAGGGGAGATGTGTAATTACATGTGGAGGGCTGGAGCCTAATGTGGCAAGCCATCTAGATAGTTCATGGTCAAAATTCTTGACTTAATGATCAACATGGTCAAACCCTAACGATAGGGCAAAGTTGTACCAATTTGAAAAATGTTTAGGGAGACATTGCACCAAGAAAATCTTGGGGATATCAGGCGCGCCTGTGTGAAAACTTTGAGGGTAGTTTGGCACTTTAACCTTAAATTTTAATATATATATATATATATATATATATATATCAAATGTAGGCAGATCAGATCGATCATGTTTTTAAAACAAGAAGAGTGGGTATGAATTCAGCTAAATTTGAAGGTTGCCTAACCAAAATAATTTTTGAGAGATCTAAAAATCCCCTAAATTGAATGACATATGGAAAACTTACTGATCGTTAGAGTGATAGCCAGCTAAATTTGCAACATCTTTCAAGGTATTTCTCCATCTTTGTACCTTCCCTTCTTCACGAAATCTCTCATTGTGCTTTTGAAAAGCATATGCAAATGCTCCCCTTTGATGTCGAACATCAGATGGGTCTACATTATAGAACACAGGAAAAACTTCCCTACCCAGTGATTCCCTAGATTCAAGAACCTTTTGGAGTTCATCCAAACACCAACTTGAAGAAGCATAATTCTGAGAAAGAATAACAATGGAGATGAGAGAATCCTCGATTGCTTGAAGGAGTTGAAAGGAAATAACATCTCCTCTTCGAAGCTCATTATCTATGAAGGTTATGATACTCTTGTGTTGAAGAGCAGCATATAAATGAGCTGTGAAGCCTTTTCGGGTGTCTTCCCCTCTGAAACTCAAGAAAACATGATACTTCCATGGTGGGATTCTCGAGCTCATGGAAGACGAGCAATAGGCAGCTTCAACATTAGCATCCATCGAAAAAAGGCTTGTGGGTTTTGTCAGAAAAGAAAGGAATGAAGGCTTGAACGATGAAGAAAAGAGGTAGATCTTCAGCCAATTAAGCTTGCATGTAGATCTAACTTGGTTGGGTCAGTCAACGATGAAAGAGGCTATACAAGGTCAAGGAAAGTTGGTAGAAACGTTTTAAGAAAGTAATAGGTTTTGCTGGATTAAGAAAGTATTAGGTTGCCTATTCTTTTCCTTTTGCTTTTGTTAGAGGAGAAACTGAATCACCATAACAGACAAAACGAAGCAGGGTGAAAAAATATTGAGCTCAAGTGGAAGTAATAGTAATGATGATGATGGTGTCCATGAATGTGGCGGAGCCATGGGTTATGTTCTTAAAGTTATTTGTATATTTTTCTTACATTTGTTTTTAAAATTTGAAAGACGTAGGATGTAAGGCAAAAATAATTTATTAACAACGAATTTTTTAAGAAAATTTTTATGCCATTGAATTTTTTAAGAAAGTAATGAATAGTAATAGAAATAAAATAATATGGACGGTCCAATATCTGGAAGTTCTTGGATAATATAGTGTAAATCGAAGATGTCTTGGGAGACTTGGGTTTCATGAACATATCGTCATATGACATCATCTTGTTCATCTCTTGGGAAACCCATAATCTCCAAGATCGCTTGACATTTATTTAAAAATATAAAATATTCAGAGGTTGTTCACAAAATATTTCCCAATTCTATTTATATATCACTTTTAATTATCTCATCAAAACCAATTAGGGGTAGGTAATTCATTGATCCTGTTTAAAAAGGAAATAAATTTCTTAATTTATACTTATTAAATGTATTATCTTTTTTTTTAAAAAAATTCTCCCTCTTGTAATTTTTTACTCTCTATTCATTTAAAATTATGAAAGGGTTGAATTAGAAGAAAATAATTAAAAATCAACTTTTTCATACCCCATAACTAGTAAAATGACTCTGAATTTTTTTAAAATAGTGATTTATAAATACGCCATGAATTATAAACAAAAACGTTGTCAATATTGTCAAACCAAACTACTCATTATAAATAGATGATATATATATATATATATATATTTACCGGAGATGATATACATGTTATCCTGTGAATCGCAAAATAAGTCGTTCTCGGAGAGGAATTGCTAAGAACACAAATGTAAATACAATCTTTTTCCTTTGTTTTACTGGACCGCATAAACGTCTCCAGACTCAAGAGGGAAGTCCAAATTAATTAGCAAGTGTGAACTTTAGCAACAAGAAAAAACAACTGTCAACAAGGAAGCGTATTTTTTGAGAGGGTCTAAGGAGAAAAAAACTCGGTTCTTGATTAATATGCAAAGGACTGAATAAAAAAAATGTCAGAAGAAGCGTGTGGACAATGTCAGATTACTTACTGACTCGGCTTTGCTCCTCAGATGCCCCCCTCCTCGAAGTTCCGCCGTCCAAATTTAATATTTTATTATTTTATTTTTATTAAAATATAAAATTATAAAAATTATAAAAATTAATAAATCTGGTTATCAATTTGGACAGTATAAATTTAATATTTAATTTTTTTATAATTTTTATAAATTAATTATTCAGATGTACAATTTAGAAGTAAAATATTTAACTTGTAATTTTTTAAAAAATAATTTTTAAAAATTTTTGTTAGTAACTATCTTCATTATCTAGAATATATCTAGATAGTCAATTTATAAAAAAATTTAATATTAAATTTGGACCATTCATATTAAATTTGTACTGTTCAAAGTATATCTCTTTAGATAGTTAATGTATAAAAAAATTTAAATATTAAATTTAAACTATTCAGATTGGTGATCATATTTATTAAAATTTTTTACAAGTTTTTATTATAATAAAAATGAAAAATGAAAAATTAAATTTGAACCGTTCAAATTTGACTGTAGGTGCAGCAAAGCCGATTTCATGAGATTAAACCGCTTCTTTGTAAGAAATTTCCTAATAGTCATATTTGGGAAAAATATCATCTAAGGCCTCCTATAATATTTTAATATTAACGAAGGACCATAAAAATCTGAAATATCACGCGCAGTCAGACGTACATATATGAAAATATAAGATTAGGGGGAACTAAATTACCCCAATAGCATTTTACAAGTCTTGCTTTGATATAAACAAAGCATTTGACTATTAACAAGTTACCATACATAACTAACAAATAGACATTCATTTATGAACGAGTTACAAAAACTTAAAGGCCTAGTTTATTATTTAGAGTCAAATGGTAACTTGTCAATGGTCAAATGCTTTATTGTTTATATGAAAGTAAGATGTGTAAAATTAGACTAGGCCTATTAGTTCTTGTAACTTATTCATGAATGAATGTCTACTTATTAATTATGAATGATAATATAATGATCCTAAATTTTAAATTAAATAAAAAATTATATATAAATATATAATTTTATATAAATTATAGCTTAATATTTAGGAATTAAGGCTTATGAAATGCGAGTTTATCTCATATTTTATGCTAGTCATACCATTGGTACCAGGGTGTGACAATTCACACCACGGTTTTTGGAGATCATTTCAATAATAATAATAATAATAATATAGAGAATGTGATACGCCATTGGGTTTTGTTATTAATTAACACGCAAAGGACAGGAAAAAATGTCAAAGGAAGTGTCTTTATAAAAAAAAAAAAAACTAGATTCTCTATCCCTGTAATGCACGGGAGTACTAATTAAGTCACAAGTAATGATGATACTGATATCTAGTAAATTAAAAAATGTTAGCACCCATATACTATTATGACACGAGTAAAAACGTTTCATAGTATTCATGCTTAAGTAATTTGTCATACTATTAGAACATTATTCTTATTAGATTAATTTCTCCCACAACATAAGTGTCTACCTCAGTAAATTTATATAATCAAAACTCATACTTGAATGCTCAATGATGTTGTTGCAATATAATCATAGTAACCATACTTGATCATGAATCAACTAAATTATGGCTAAATGACCATTAAATAACCATAGTGTTTAATCACAAACAGAAAAAGTATAACCCAGACAGAATGCTCGCATATAAAATATAGCCATTATAGCTAGCATGCACGTAAAGAAGAAAAAGAAAGCTCACTATAGTAAGTCAGAGCAATCATTCAGAGCAACCTGGCCATGAACCATCCCCTTGACAAGATTAGGACTTGTCATGAGAGATTAAGAACATGGATAGAGAAACTAATAAATGTGTGGATTGGTTTGCCTAACAATCTTCTGATGATAATTTTAATACTACAACTTTTGATGAACCACCATCTGAGTGCAAAAATTATACTACAACTTTTAATTACAACTTCTTGTAGTTGAAAAAAAGGAAAAAAAAAAAAAGCTCACTAAAAAAAAAAAAAAAACTAGATTCTACATCCCGCAATGCACGGGAGTACTAATTAAGACACAAGTAACGATAATGTCCCATTCCACACGCAACCAGGTGGCAACAGAGATCCTCACTGGTCTGTCATTTTGCAGAAGAGCAATGAAGAGGGTGCCGTATAATTGTTACCTAAAATAAAAACAAAAAATGATTCCAAAATTACAAGATTCTAGTTCTAGACCAAAAATAAACATCCAGTTACAGCAGTGTGAGTAAAATACTAGTGATAAAGCTTTTTGTCTGACTATAGGATCCCAAATGGGATTTGCATCAGATAAGTGGTTTAAGTTCACTTATTACTTTATGTGGCACGATAACAATAGTTTGATTTAATCGAACAACAGTCAAATATTTTATCATATAATATTCATAAAGTATCAAATCTAAAATGTTTGGAGGAAACAAAATAAGTGAGAAGTGTTCTAATTGTGAAGATTGTTTTGAATTTTTGGAGAGAAATATATCTTGATAGTTTTCAAATATTGATGAAATCTAATGATTATAATTGAGACTATATCATTGATTGAGTGTAATTAGGTTGCTCACCCAATCCTAATACATTAGAAAGCTTAACATACTCTGCATTTTTTTCTCTACACTTCCGGTCCTTTTCCACTCCATAACTGCAATTTTTGTTGAAAATCTAGACAAAAAATGTAATAAAGAATTCTTTGATAAATCATTTTCTTCTTCAATTTCCAAGAAATAGATAAAAATTCTGTAAAAATAAGACAATTTATATACTTGCATTGCATGCGAGGGAAAATTCTCTGATATGATTGAAACCATAGTCTCCTCAACAGATTTGTCCGTAATCGCTTACTGACTGGTAATATTAAGTGTCAGGAAAATATATCCATAAAATCAAACCCACAAAAAATATAGGAATTTAAAAAGGGCACTTCGCGATATCAACCAAAGAATTGAATCTTTCAAATTGTACCAGGAAAAAACAAACACTATTATGGTCTCTAAAGTATTGTCATTGTCATGTTTGAGCATAGTTAAAAGCATCTTAATAATTAAAATTTAGTTTAAAACAAAAATGATTGAGGAATAAAATTAAAATGTTATTTATTTTGTGATAGTCCAACTATATATATATATATATGGGAGTAGAAATGAAAGGTAAATTTGCTAGTGTAAGTGTGGCGCTTGATCTCAACAACAAACTTCATTCCAGATTTATTATCAGAAAGCAAATCTTCAATCAGGAACATTCTTTATTAGATTTCGGTTTTCATTCAAGCATGTATAATTAATAGTCTGGTGATAAACCTTTAGATCACATTTGGTTACTAGAAACGAATGAAATGTAATAGATTGAAAAAATTAACACAAAAATTTGAGTGACTAAATTTATAAGTACTGATTTGAATGACTAACTGGGGAAAATTTGAACGGTCGAAAACACATTCTTCAACATTAACATCCTGACAAATAAACTTGGGATGGTTGTTAAACTATAAGAAATATCAAGATATTTCTCAATCTATATATGTGTCTCATAACATCAAGTAACAATAGATATGAAGAGAATAAGAGCATTTTTTTTTTCTTAAAACAATTCTGCTGGGTAATTTTTTAGAACAAGTTTTGGAGATAAAAAATGGAAAAAATATATTTGAATCATTATTTAAAAAAACATCTAAAATGGTGAAATAAAAGGTGAAAGAATTATTTTATTAATATAATTGTCATTAATTAAATAATCATGTTTTCGGCCTTTTTTCTTATTTTGCAGAAAAAATAACAAAATATTCTAGTTTTTTAGTTCTTCAGAATAATTTTTACTTTTTTTATTTTTCAAAATAGATAGCAAAAAGCATATTTACAAACATGTTTTTTTTCAAAACAAAATTATTCTAAAAACAAATAATCAAACAAGTCCTAAGTATTTTGAGAATTTTACTTACCAAAAATTTTGTGCAATCTAGGTTTGTTTGCACCATTCTAACACTTTAAAACGAGCATAGCTGAAATCCATGAATGGAAAACTCTGAAAGTCCACAATTGAGTGCGTTATAGTTTGAATATATTGCCATAAATATTAAAAAAATCTTTGTAGAATTAAAAAAAAAAAACAATACATTACCTTACCAGATAGGTCAAGGTCAAACAGAAAATTTACCCCTTGAGGATGTCCCACACCCTTGATAACTTCTTCATGTTTCAACTTTCGAAGTACAAATGGTATTTGACTGATCTGCCCCTGAATTGTTCGAATACTTAGTTTATAACTGATCGATGTGCGAAATTAATTAGGCAAAATAGGAGAATGGTCACTACTCATTAAATACTTAGTTTTTAACAATTTGAATTAACATGCAATGTTAAATATTCCACTACTTATTGCCCTTGTCCTTGTCTTCTTTTATTTTTGAATGGTCACTCCATGTTCTTTACAGTTATATATGATATATCATTGTTCTAGTAAATTCAGCATTTCAAATGACTTTTATGCACTATGACGCAGAGCTTTGATCAGTTTAATTATTTAGTCTCAAAGTGCAAGAGTACATTCTTTGTCACTCCTTTTTGTTGGAAGCGAAGAGACATATTTTGTTCAGCTAATGATCAAGCATTACCCTCTTATTTAGAATGGGAAAAAATAAGGAAAGAAAATCAGGAAAAAAAAGTGGAAGAAAAATATATTTTTCTTTACTAGCATGAAGTTTTAGTTTTCCCTCTAGGGAAAAATTAGGGGAAAATATTATTTTCTCTAGTTTTCTCTTCTAATTTTCCATCCTCCCTGTTTTCTTTCCATTCCAAACAAAGCCTAAAAGAAGTTTATATGATCATGAGTTGAGCCTATGAAATCCAAGCTAAGTCCACCATATATATTTGTCACTTATATTTGATAGACAAAATCATTGAAAACATACATCAACATACCATTTAGATTTGCATGCTCAAGGATGGCAAATTTTAATGAAGCTCCATGTAGATTTGCCTTGTTAAATTCACATCTTTCCATGGTCAAATAAAGCAAGTTAATTATCATATCCGAGGCCTGAGACACTAGTGCAACTATAAAACAAGTGTCTGCAAGCAACTTACCGACGCAAATTTGCAAAGTCAAAGATGGAGCCCTTGGCATTAACATGCTATCAAATACGATAGGTTTTAGGTTAAATAACATGAGAATAAAGGAAACTTGTATGTAATGTCGCATTGAACTAAAAGTATCGATATGTAGACACACACATATTTCACAAGTAGAATATTAAATGGTCATATGTAGCAACTACCATTCAAGAATAATTACCCGGAACTTTCCACATAAAAGGTTTGCACGTAAAAATGAGACATGTTCAAGACATGCAAAGTTGAAATTCACATCACGTAAATCCTGAAATTCCACACAATCAATGTCATCACTAGGAATGTATAAGCAAGTATCTAATATTCTTCTTCTTTCATTAATTATTAGCTAATCAACTTACCATATCTGAAAGGTTAACATATGGAAGATTGGCTCCTTCAAGATTTGCAGCCTTCAAGTTAGGATTGTACAACTTTGCACCCTGGCACTCCATCAAACTAAGTCTATAGGATACCCAAGAAATTTTTCATCATTCAAATATTTTAAAACAATAATACTTTACCTCTAAATTAGCTCCTTTTAGGATGGCTCCTTCTAAATTGACATCACTAAGAACTGCATTCTGAGCAGATGAAAGTATAATAATAACATATTAGTAAACACTTATATCTTTCACAGATGAAATCATTCTAAGTTTTATTTTAAGTATTTAGTTGACATTAATCCATTCAAACCCAGTACATCATGTTTAAGCGATTATAGCCCTTTTTGATTAGGGACAACGCTTGTCGATTGCCCCATAATGGGTTCAAACAAAAATACCCAGTGGATGGGTATTCATAAGGCTCATTTGGTTAAGGTAGATTCTGCGGGTGACTGGTTTGCATGGGAAAAAATTGTGTTAAGGACAAGATTGATTGGGCTTTTTCTAATAGCAGTTGGCCTTCCCAAACTTTAAAGTTTTCCATTTAATTTGGCGTTGCTCTGTTCATTGGTCGCTTTTTCTTAGAGATTTTTCAAGTACTGCCCCCACCCTAAAATAAGAGTGTTCAAATGTTAAGCTCCTTGGCCCCTTGAATATGATTTTCTAAGAGATCCTATAACTGGAATGACAATGTCAATAACTTTGCGAATCAAGCTCTGGTTTGGGGCATAAACAGGGTTGAGAATGTTCACTACGACATTTTTTTTTCTTTAGGCAACAGTTTTCTTTACAACAATTTTAAAAGTGTTTTCCTAATGTGGGCATAAGCAACGGTTTTCATATCTTTCTATTGATTACTACTTTAAGCAACAAATATTTGGCTACATTTGAAAATTGTTTCTTAAAGTAGAATAAACAACAATTTTCAAGTTGGAAGAGTGATTAAAATCACCCCTTCCTTTCAATAGGTTCAAGGGTCAAATCTTAGATGGAAAAGAAATATTAAATTTTGGGTATATAACAATTTTGAAATAATTCTTAAATCTTGCCTATTGATAAAAACATTTCGAAACTATTGTTTATAGTTAGATAGTAAGTATAGCATATTCTCATAGTTTAGGCAACAGTTTTAATGAAATGCCACCATAGAGTGAGCAAACTATTGCTACAGACTTTTTTAGTTATGCTACGTTCGGCAACAATTAAGAGTAACAATTTTCATAGTTTTTACTACATTTTTTAAATATCCTAAAGGGAAAAAATGTTGTAGTGATATTCCATACAAGAAATGGAGTCTACTCAAGATGCTAGCTGCATGTATTGATAATTCTAGAAAACAGAGAGACAACCAATATTTGCAACTACTTGAGAGGGCGCTCTGGAAAGAATACAACAAATAATAACTTTCCATACAAATGTCAAGATGAGGATGAGAAGAAATAGAATTGAGGCCCTAAAAAATGATCCTGATGAGTGGGTGGACAACCAACATGAATTGCAATGCATGCTTGGCAACTACTTTTAAAATAAATTGTCCCAATATCCGCCTGCTATATTTACTTGGCATTGCTAGAGGATTAAAGATTTGTTGGGAAAGAGGGTTTCAAAAGGTTGAAGTTTTCTCTGATTGTGCTGAAGCGATCAACATTCTCAAAAGGAAATCTCGACTCCATGTCATCCTTATATCCACATTGTCTTGTATATATTCTACTAATCTCCTTTATCTAGAGAATTAAACAATCTTTGATCAATCTCCACCTTTTCTCCAAGAGGTGGCGAATGATGAAAGATTAACCCTCTCTTGTTTTTCTATTTCGTGATGGTTGTACTTTAGATTATGTGATTATTAGATTATAGTTTTCACTCAAAAAAATTAATCAAGTATATACAATTAATGATCTGGTGGTGAACCTTAAGAATTGCAGAAGTCAGGACTGCTCCAACTAAGGAACATTTTATCAAGCAAGCATCTGCATTAGTGCAAAGGAATAGTTCTTAGCATCAGTAGTATAGTTCTCACTGTCACATATGTATTTACGGAGATGTAAAAACTATAATGTAGAGTTTAACGTGCCTTCTAGTGTTGAGTTCTGAAGAGCAGCATTATTCAGTGAAACTCTACGAAAAGTGGCTCGATTAAATTGACATCTTTACACAGGCAAGGGCAAGATGGATAAGGTAAGAGACTAGTAAAATCGATCATGATGAAAATTTTGGAAGTATTCATCTGAATCACTTACCGAGGGAAATTTGAGCAGTCGAAAATGCATTCTTCAACATTAACATCCTGACAAATAAACTTGGGATGGTAGTTAATTCTTAAACTATAAGAAAGATATTTCTTAATATATATCTGTGTGTGTATCTCATAACATCAAGTAACAATAGATATGGAGAGAATAAGAGCTTGTTTGATCTATTTTCTGTTTTTATGTTCTTAAAACAATTATGTAGAGTAATTTTTTTGAACAAGTTTTGAAAACAAAAAAAATGAAAAAAATATGTTTGAATCATTATTTTTAAAAAAATATAAAGTGGTGAAAGAATTTTTTTAAAAAAATTATTATTTTATTGACATAATTGTCATTAATGAAATCATTATGTTTCTTGCATTTTCTCTTATTCTGCAGAGCAAAAAATAACAAAATAGCAACAAAATATTCTATTTTTTTTAATTTTTCAGAATAATTTTTAAATTTTTATTTTTCAAAATAGATATAGCAGAAAACATATTTACAAACATGCTTTTTTTTATGTTTTGTTTTTCAAAAGAAAACTCTTCTAAAAAAAAATAATCAAACAGGTTCTAAGTATTTTGAGAATTTTACTTACCAAAAATTTTGTGCAATCTAGGTTTGTTTGCACCATTCTAACATCTTTAAAACCAGCATAGCTGAAATCCATGAATGGCAAACTCTGAAACTCCATAATTGAGTGGGTTATAGCTTGAGTATATTGCAATAGAAAGGGAAGATATATCAATTGTGTGTTTTACCTATTATCACCATAATATTAATCGACATTATTAGGGACAAAAATATCCTGACACACCTCTTATATTTATGAACGAAATAAACTTCTATAAAACATCCTATATATAAAGACCTAGAAGGGAGTATGTTGCAAGTACAAAAATTCTTTGTCAAATTAGAAATGAAAAATAAGATATTACCTTACCAGAGAGGTCAAGGTCAAACAGAAAATTTATCGCTTGAGGATGTCCCACCCCCTTGATAACTTCTTCATGTTTCAACTTTCGAAGTACAAATGGTATTTGACTGATCTGCCCCTGAATTTTTCGAATACGTAGTTTATAACTGATCAATATGCGAAATTAATTAGGCAAAATAGGAGAATTGTTTTATTTTTAACTGTCCACTCATATTCATTTTAGTGTTGAACTTCGAAAGCCATATCTTAATTTAAAAAAAAAAAAACTTAGTTGGGTCTGCCACCAATTAAGCTGCAGTAAAATTATTTAAAAAATAATAATAATAAACACTTGACTATCTCTTTGAAGTTGGGGTATATCATTTGATTGGATTAGTCTCCAAAATTAGACAAGTAAAAGGGGCAAAATAAGAATCTAAGGCAAGGAATCAAGTATTCAAGTCTTGCTTGAAAGATTTGATCAAAACTAAATCTTGAGATGGGAAGTGAATGTGATAGTTCAAAATTGATATATAAAAATTAAGATAAATAATGAACAAAGTACATGCACGCGAACTAAGTTTGTCCCACTTGCTTTGGCCCTTTTTGGGTTACTATTATTGAATGAGAGGTCAAGGCGTTGTTTTATTTTGTTCTATTTTTTATTTTTTAAAATCATTTTGTAAATCACTTTTTCAAAATTATTTTTTAAAACAAAAAAAAGAAAAACTGTTTTAAAATAAAAAAATCAATCAATAGTGGGGGTTGCTGGTGATTAATTGTATTGACCTATGATAATAGTTGATCATAGTTGACCATAGTTTTCCAAGGGTCAAATATAATGAGTTCCTTTCTTTTGGTCAACAAAACTGCACGTTAAAATAGATAATATAATACTACGAGCAATAATGCCGTATAATCTTACCCATACTCCTGTAACGATTTTTCTAATGTTGTTCTCTTTATTCCTACAAGGATGAAATTTAGGAATTATGTAATACTTGCATATATGAAATTCGGAGAAATATTATATATGTCCGAACAAAATTGAAGAAGAGGAAGGCATAAAAAAATACCCAATTTTTTATTGAATTAATCAAAGGTTGTTACAATAAAAAAAATCCTACATATAGGGCTATTTATAGAATCCTAGTTGAATAAAAAAAATTCAAACGCTAATCCTAATCCTAAAATATAAACTGTATAATCTGGATAAGCAGAGATCATGAAGAGATAATCTAGATATACATAGATGTCCAATTTTTTTTTTGAAATAATGCAAAATATTGAGAGATAATATACAAAGCCAATAAATTAAATAAATCAAGGAGATATTATTATTAGATGACTAAAAAGAGGGAGATATTATGATTCCATTGAAAAATATTGTTTCCCAAGTCAATTGCTAAAATTCCCCCTTCCAATGAATGCATGAAACAGCACTTCAAATAATGAATATTAATTGGATTTTGAAACGGCAAAAACAAAAAAAAAACAAAACAAAAAACCCTTTACTATCAAAATTGAAAATATCATATATTTCCCAAAAAAATTCTAGAATTTTTTCTATTTTCTTAGGATGGCATTCATTTTTCAGTTTATTTTTTTTTTTAAAGAAAAACAACACTACAACATTGCTGAGGTAATTAATCAGAGAAGGCATATATAATCAAGCAAAGAAATTGAACTTACCCATCAATCCAATGATAGCCACTTATATTTGCCACTTCTTTCAAGTCATTTCTCCATTTTTGCACCTGTTCTTGAGTAAATATCTCACAATGTTGTTGAAACGCAGCAGCAAAAGTTCCTCTTTGATGTCGTACATCAGATGGATCTATGTTATAGAACACTGGGAAAACGAATCGGCTCCAAGCCTTTTTACAGTCAACAATCTTTGAGAGCTCATCCAAACACCAAGTTGAAGCAGCGTAATCCTTAGAGAATATGATAATGGCACAGAGAGACTCTTCAATTGCTTGAATCAGTTCTGGGCTGATATCTTTCCCTTTCCTTATATCATAATCTATGAAAGTTCTGATACACCTTTCTTTCAGAGCATTGTGTAACTCAGCTGTGAAGTCTCTGCGTGTGTCTTCTCCTCTGAAACTCAAGAAGACATGATACTTCCATGGTGGGATTGTTAAGTTCGTTGAAGTAGAGACACAGGCTAATTCATTGCTAGTCGCCATTGTGACAAGTTCGAGTTGATTAATTTTCTCAGAGAAACACAGGCTTGAAATACTAATCCAAGAGGCAGTTTCAACATGTTTTAAATTAGATCAGAGTACTACGTCTCAGGGAAAAACAATTATGGTCAACATGGTTTGGTGAAGTGGGGACCAGCCCACGTAGACAACCGTGTTGACCATCATTGTTTTTGACTGAACTAGAGTACTACGTTTCATCATGAGTGCATTACCCTTTCTATTTTACTTTAATTATATATACCTTCATTCTATTTTTGAAACATGTACACCCTTAATATGATTAGTTTAAAAACATAAACATCACTTCTATTTTTAATATTTTATTTCCATACCTCTAACAGTTAGCTGACTGTTAAGTGATATATGTTGAACAAAAATCCTCCTTCTATAAATATAAATCATTCAAATTACCCAAAAATATTAATGCATATATTTTTTACTTTTTCTTTATATTTTAATTTTTTTAGTTATGTAAATGTATTTAATTTTAAAAAATTTAGATACATAAATTGGAAAAATAATATTCAAACACATAGGTAAAAAATTTAATGAGATAAGGATTTAATATGATAAATTACTCTATATAATTTATGTTTATTTTTCTTTTAGTTTCATTAATTTTAACACAAAATTTTTAAATTATTTATTTAAATATTAACATACTTAATTATTTAAAGGTTTTTAAAGGGGTGTGGGGGGGGGGGGACTAAGCCATAAGATTATTACAAGGGCAAACTAATATTCAGTAGATAGGATAGGATTAGTTTTTCACTTTTTCTGTTGTGCTTTTCCTGCTCTTTATTCGTTTGTATTTAGTTTACATTCAGTTGGATATAATTACAAATAATTAAGTATTTTAAAATATTTAACTGAATATTACTAACAGTATTAATTAGACTAAAATATAAGTTTTAAAAATAGAATGGAGATCTTTATAATTTTAATAAAATAGAAGGAAACTCACTATATTTTACTCTAATAATAATAATAATAATCGGGTGGTGGAAACCAACGTTTACCTCATATTTTAATGAATAAAAAATAATTTTAAATTTAATAAATTATCTGCTTGCGTCTGTCCTCTCTCTCTATATATAACTTATAATGATAATATACTTTTATATTTCTTTTGCAAGTGGGAGATGTTGACATTCTATGACTGTCCTAAATTTTCATTTGAAAAAAAGTTCGACCTAATAAAATTATTATTTGTTTTCTTGGCCCGGGAACAAGTCACTTATCCGCATCACAACTTTGACCGTTAGAAATGGCTCCTCTTTCTTCGCCTCCTCTTCTTACTTTTAACCATTAGATCAAAATTTTGGATGATCATTTTTCTCAAAATATTTTATTTTATTTTCCTTTAACTGTATTTTTTAACTGTTCTTATTAAATTTTAAGAGTTGAACTTTATTATTTATATCTTTTATAATTTTATATTTTAATAATAATTTTATAGGAAATCAAATATAAACTATCTAAATCTTGATCTAATGGCTTAATTCAAGAGCTCGGATTGGAGTCTCACATGAATGCAAAAGGCATCTTTGAGCTAAACCTAATTAATTAGGTTCAACAATGCTTAGATCTGAAAAACTCATATACATATACATATATATATATATATATATAAAGAAAAATATTTACAGTTACATTAAGTTCAAGAGTATGTGCGTGCACATTTTTTATTTGGTTCTTTAAAACTTTGATTATATATGAAATACTATGTGTTTTTCTTGTAGAAGTTTCTCACGGATTACAGCTAAGACAGAATTTCTCTCAAATTTTCTTACTGAATTTATCTTTAAAAGGAATTCTCACAATTTTTTTCCATAGAAAAAGCATCAGATGAGCGAATATTTTGCTAGAAAGTTAAGAGAATCTTCCCACCTGATGGCTACAAACTCGCCACAGAACACTCTAATTTTCTCCTAGAAGAAAATTTAGTAGTGAGAACCAGCCCAGATTATTATTAAGAAAAAAGGCTCATGCTTTTTTTCAAACAAAATCATAATATAAATCTTATAGATCATTCTCCAATAAAATAAAAACCCTAAATGTAATTAATCCTATATCCCATTATCACCATTCACTAGATCATCCTTTCCTTTCTAAATGGAACACAATGCTCTCATGAATCTCATCTCATTGTCCTCACAGACTTCAAGCCATTGATTAAACTATACCCATCTATATGGTATCCTTGATTGGCCCCATCTTTGGAAATTATTGGCTCTTGAATTTATTTAATCAAGTATGATTTCATTTGATATATAAATCTTGAAGTATACAAGACTAATTGTATGATACTGTAATACACAATAAGTGTATTTTATTTTGATAATAATAAGTGTAATTTATTCTGGGTACAACACTTTTGAATCATAGGTAGTGTGTATAGCAGTTTAATACTCAATTAAGTACGCTTGAAGAAGTCCAACACTGGCTCGTAAACAACTTCTTTCGCATTGGAAGCCATAATGAAATCAAGATGACCATATTCTTCACTATAAACCACCTCAAGCTTGCCTTTATCATGATCTTTGAGATCGTTATTAATCAAAAACTCCACGTCTTTCACGTCTGCTAAGATATCATTCTTTCCATAGCAGAGGAAAAGAGGAAAGTCTTTTGGGATGCTAGCCATGTTATATTGGGGAGGGTTCAATTGTCCATAGTGTTGCATGTTTTGTATAGGATTTCCGTAGTCATACTTCGCTATCTTTCTTGTGCTGACCACTGCTCAAAATCACAGTTACTATAATAAAAACAATGATAATAAATTATTTTTTGGGCTCAAACACCATTTTTTTCCTAAATTCTTTTCAGGAGCATTAGATGCTTTATACAGGACGATGGGGCAATATTCCCCCTAAACAATTTATTTTCAAGAGCAGAATCGCTCTTCAATCAGAGACTCGTCATCTTCTCTATTATTTGCTTACATGGAATAGTTGTAGTGCCTATACATAATGATAGCAAGGTATTTTGATACATTTTGCCACCATTTTGTTGCATAAACATAGCACAATTCCTGCCATTGTCAGCCCCTTTGGCCCACGTCAAATGAACAAAATTGGTCAGAATGCCTTGTTGTCACTTTACGTGAGCCCCACAACTATTCCATGCCAGCAAATAATAGAAAAGGTAACAAGTCTTAGATAAAAGGGCTATTTTGCTCTTGAAAAAGTTATTTCGGGGGGATATTTCCTCACCTTTCAATATAGGGTGTCCAACATTCTTTAAAGAAAAAGTTTAGAGAGAAAAATGGTCTTTAACTCTATATTATTTTTTTTTTTCTTTTGGTTGAAGTCATTCTGAAATAAAACCAACAATATATGAACACGTACAACTAGAGGGAAGTAAATAATTAGGCCTCCTTTTAAAGAAGTGTTACTAATAATCATTCATTTCAAAACCTTGACAATGGCATAGCATATACTTCCTCATTTTAAAATTAGGATAAAATGGCAATTTGATCCTTAAACTATAGGCCAACTTGCCAAGGAGCATCTGAGACTCTAGAATATGACTTTTTGATGTATAATTTACACAATAAAATTACTAAAAGATGTATTCATGATAAAAATAATATCGAATCCTTTAATTGAGTGATGGTGTGTGTTTTTCTCTCAACAGCAAAAACAAAATTATGCTAATGTAATATTTCATGGGAATATCATAGGACCACACCCTAATTAATCAAGGGGTTGGATTTATAAAATTAAATAAAAAAAACAACTTACCTTGAGAAAAATGGATCAAGTTCTTAGTCGCTGTTGGTTGAGGCTCATGAAGAAGAAGGGTATCTATCGTCGTAAAACTGATGCAACAGCTTGGGCCTAATAAAATTTGAGAGCAATTTATAAAATAATTATGTATGTAGCAAAAGCAAATAAGTTGAGGGATAAAAAATATAAAACTGTCATAACCAATGTGCATATATAAGAACTTGAAGATATATTTTATTCTACAGTATACCTGTAAAAAGTTTCACAAGGTCTGAGCAATTGGTGCCTGAAGAATTGCAGATCGTTCCTATAAGCTGGCGAACTTCTTGACTGCTCAATGTTAATAATAAATTTAAAAGTTAATAAATAATTTTGTAGTTTCATTATGAATAACTTTGTTCTTAAATCACAAGGCAGTAGGTAGTAATAGTTTTTGAAAATGGGACAAAATATTTAATGTTTCATAGAGTTAGTGCTTCATGAATTTTGTCACTCATGATGGGATATAAATATCGACGACTAGCTAGAAAATGACCATATTTATATTATTCTAAAAGCTTTTTATCTATGATATATTGGACCAATTAACCAAGAGATGATCCTATGATTAATTCTTTTTTATTGTATAAGAAACTTTCCATTTGAACCAATTAATTAAGAGAAGTTGGAAGTATAAAATAAAGCACAGTGAGCTATGAATTTTTTGTGGGGTAGCATTTCATTTGGTACACAATACTTTTGACTTGGGAAAAGATTTAGGTTAATCACAATTTTTCCTTTTAAACTTTTTTTTAGAAGTATTAGATACCTTGTAGTGAAACGTAGGATAATATCCCTTCTAAACTAGTTTTCCAAGAGCAAAATCACTATTCCATTAGAGACCTGTCTTCTTCTTCATTATCTGCTAACATAGAATAGTTGTGGAGCTCATGCATAGTGACAATAATGCATTCTAACTCATTTTGTCATCATTTCATTGATAAAATAAAGCATGGTTTTGGCTACTGCCATTATTACTTCCAGCCCCTTTGGCTTGCAATAGATGCGTAAAATGGGTCAGAATGCCTTACTGTCATTGTGATTGGGTCCCACAACTATTCTTCATCAACAGATAACAAAGAAGATAATTTTGCTTCTAAAAAAAATTGTTTGCAAGGGATATTGGCCCACTCTTTAATATAAGATGTATAGCGCTCCTAAAAAAAAATAAAAGTTCATGGGGAAAAAATAGTCTTTAACCCAAAAATTGAATTATTTAATCGTATATGTTAAAGGGTTAAATAAAAAATTAGCTCCTAAGCTATAAATTCAAGAGCGCTTGAGATCCTAAACTTATTTTTTATATAATATTCCCCTTCAACTTTTGAAAAATGGTACAATCTAACTCTTACTGTTAACAAATGTTAACTTTGATGATTAGTTGATCAAAAAATAATAGGAAAAAGAAACCAAAAAATTGCAGTAATTTAAAGCCCCAAAAAATTACATAAAAGGATCAAGAAAATTTTATTGGTTCTTTTTTGTAATTTTAGACATCCTTTTTTTTATCATTTTTTTACTTAACTAATAATCAAAGTTAATTTTTATTAACTATAGAGAGCCAAATTACACCGTTTTAAAAGTTGAAAGAGAACATTATACCAAATATGAGTTTAGGATAAGGTATTAGACACTCTTGGGCCTATAATTTAGAGGCCAATTTTTTACCCTATATTTAATATATTTTTGTCCAATGAAATCAAAATAAGAAGATTTCAAAGTGCTAATAATATTAATAACCAAAGTTTATCATAGAATCCCTAAGATATAAAAATTTCAAATGTCTTGATTTTATTGGAAGCAAGTATTATATATATATATATATCAACCTTATTATTCCATCTATTTTTTTGGTAAAATATATTCCAACAATTTGTAATAACTTGCTTTCACATTTTAGAGGCATATAATCAACAAATGCTTCAAATTGCTTAGTTATCTCCTTGCTTTCTAAATGTGATACCAAATAGTAAAGTTAAGTAGCATTGTTTTTTAAATTTATATTGCTTACCTCTTGGGGATGAACTCACCGAGCTTTAACCAATATAGAGCCTACAATAACAATGAAAAGGAAAAACAAAATCGTCAAGTTAATTAATCGCTTATTAATTATATAAATGAAATTCTATATATGAACAAAAAAATATATGGGAAGTGTGTAACAGTAGCTAGAAGGGAGCGAGCAGCCAATTGAATTGCAGGCGAAGGAATGTTATTGAGATGAGCAATTGGGGCAAATAAAGCAGCAGATCTGATCATGTTCAACAAGTTCTTCTGGGAAAATGCAGCCAAAGCTATTAAAGTCCCCTGAAATATATAATTTGAAATTAATTAAAGCTATATTCAATATATATATATATATATATATATGGATGGTTGCACATGTATCAGGTCATATTCAATTTCAAAGGAAAAAATCATCAATAAGAATTATTTATTTTAGGTGTCATGTACATGCATACTGAAATTTTCTTTAAAAAAATCAATACAATATGTTAAGTTATCCATGTACAAAATCAAGATATATTATATTAAATATATTTCGATCGTCATCTTGTTTTAGTTTTACTTCATTGATGTTTATTTCATGTGTTCAAAAGAGCAAACATTAAAATTAAGAGCAAAAGAATTATTGAAATACTAATTATTACCTGGGAATGTCCGGCATAGTACAATTTCTGCCCAGTATGATTGTAGACATATTGAACTAAAGCATGAAGATCATAAGAGGACAATTCATCCCATGACCACTCCCAATAGGCCTGGATTTTTTTTTAATTTTAAGGGAAAAACCAAATAAGTAGTACGTTAATAAAATATGAGTCCCTGAAAAGCTTATATTAAATTAAGATGGAATGACAAGTTGAGACCCAAAGTTGAATTTAATTTCAGTTTGGAACTAAAACATTCTAGAGTTTTGATAAATGACCAAGTCATTTGTAATTTGAGACTAATATTAGAAAGTCAACATTTGACATTAAAGAACCAAAGGTCAATGAATAATTTGACATTGATATATATTGCAAAATTTGACATTAGATGCCCACATTTACCCTCCATTAATTGATATGGGAAGAAAATAGAAATGAGAAAAAAAAAATTAATGGTATGTTTGGATTGATGAGGATTTGGATTTGTAATTGGACCAAAGCTCTCATTTGGATGTACAAGAATTTATGGATTTGGATTTAATTTAATTCCAAATCTATTTCTCATTATAATTTTTTATAATTTTAAATTCCCTCTACACCATAGTCATTTCAAATTTCAATCATTTCAAACATTTTGTTCTTTTTATGCTTTTACTATTAATACCTTTATGACTCTGAATCTTTTCTCATATTTTGTTATTTTTTGTTATCAATTGAAAAATGGATGTAAACTCAACTACTTCAAATTTTTCATTTTCATTTCGAATTTCAACTCATATGACATCTCTTTTTCATTTGAATTTTTTTAAACTACCTAAATAAAATAGTTTAAATACATGAATTTGAATTGTAGAATTTAAATTAAAATCCACCAACTCGAACATTACCCAAGAGGGGGAAAAATAAAAGAACAAGACATTTGTTTCTCTATAGTATAAATTTTTTATTTAGTTTGTCCCTTCTCTTCGGAAAAAATTAGACAAAAATAAGGGTGGGAAATTTATTTATTTTTTCTTTAGTTTTCTCTCCTAATTTTCTCTCATGCATATTTCTTTCTCATTCCAAATAAAGCTTTAATGCACGACCATACCTAAAACAAAATTATTTTCAATAGGACATCTTTACACAGTGACAAAGTATTCTAAAACTTAACACTAATATTCTAAAATTTGACAATTACACAACTTTATACATAATATCATTGTGAAAATTTGAAATATCAGTAAATTTCATTATAACGATGACAAATTATTCAACAACCTTTGGCTTTTTAATGAAATTTCAGAATCTGAGTTCTACACTAAAATCAATCAAAATTCATCTCTTAATCTCAAAATGTTATTCTCCATTAAATTAACTTAGGAAAAAATAAGTATAAATAATCATATATATATATATATATATATAAAAGGTTAAGGTTTCTTTTTATCCCTGAATTATTTTCATAGGAGTACATAGTGTTTTAAACTCTTTGTCGTAACAAAGTTGTCCTTAAAATATTTAAATCATAATAATATTGCCCCTGGTGTTAAAAGAGCCAATGTTAACCCATTAAATTTGCTGGCTTAGACTTAACGTTCAAGGCAACATTGCCATGATTTAATTATTTTCAAGGCAACATTGCTAAGATTTAATTACTTCAAGAGCAACATTACAACAGGTTGAATTGAACTTATTTTCGAGCCAGTAAAATTAACCGTCAATGTTTGCCAATTTAATTAATTTAAAAGCAACATTACTACGATTTAATTACTTCAAAGACAACATTGCTATGATAAAGAGTTTAGGACATTAGTGCTACATGACATTTGGGGGGGTGTTTGTATTATAGAAGGTACCTTATCACTAGTTGAAAGAGATGTGTGGCCATTACTATATTTGGTACCACGAGTATTGCCAAGCCACACATCATATCCATTGTCTGCTAAGATAAAAGGCAATGATTTATTATAAGGCGCGAGCACCCACGTTATAGCATCCTAAAAACCACAAAACACAACATAACGATCCAAGTAAGGGACGATATGATGGTGATACTTGCTACGTGAATCAAACAAGACATTATATTTTTTTTATTCAAGAAAAAAAGGAAAAGAAAAACTTACAGCAAGGACACCATGCTGTAACAGAACAGGTGGCTTGTCTCCTTTTGAACCAGATTGCCCCACCACAATCCTCTGCATGCTCAGGATATATCCGTCCTCTGTGGTAACCTGAATCACGCCAATCATGTTCGTGTATTAGTAATGTTTGGTCTTGTTTAATTTCACGAGGAATACTATAGCTCACTATTTACCTAATTCACACAATCCAAGAAAATCAATTAAAAGTATCTCGTCTTTCTATAGATACCCTTCAATTATACCCGAGAATGCTTAACTATGATCTAGTCAGATAATTATATAAAAAAAATGCATCAAATTCTAAATCATTTCTCTTAACCCCTCTCTAAATCATAATTACTCAACAATGTCTATACCAAGTGTAGCAGTATTAGAAAAAATACTAATTGCTATACAGATTCTAATGAGATATATAAATATATAGAAACGATAAAAAAGCTTCTAGAATACTGTATAACTTGCAAATAACGCTGTCAAGAGAAAAATTTGTAAATAGAAAAAGAGGTAATATATAAACCTTATGTTCTTGGCATGGGTAGCCTTGTGTCTCTATCATTGATTTGCAGATACCATCACTAGAGCTTGAGGCAAATGCATACAGTGATCTTCGTCCTGGTGCTTCTGACAGGCCAAGTAAAACTATAAAAAGCAAAGCAAATAATATATTACTGCGAGGCATATTTTTTCTAAATGGTGGTGATGTCCTACGATGCAAACACTGGAAGATAGTGCAGCCTTTTATAGTTCAAGCATGCACATCGTCATGGGCAATATTGTTGATCTATTTCTATCAACAATAATTAAGTTGCAGCAATTTTCAACAGTGTGATGATATTGGTTCATTAATTAGGTTGTTCATTTAACACAATCACTACTTCATTGAAAATGTTTATCCAAAAACTAAAACTAACATATATTTATCCAAAACCAAGGATATTGCCGAGAAAACATTGTGGATAGAGGTATTTGAGACAGATGATCAAGAATTTGTATTTAAATAATGGTATTTGTGTAAAAAAAATTTGGATAATTTTCTGACAATCAACTAATTTTAATTAGCTTTCTTGATTTATGTGAATAGTCAAAGGTGACTTATAAATATCATGGAAGGAGTATTTTGCAACGCATATATTATTCAGTAATTGCGATAACATATTCAGTAATTGTTTGTGGCCATTTGAATTTTGGTTGTTAGATTATTTTTGTTGACTACGCAGGTTGACTTTTGGAGGCTTATGGACTTATAAACATATAATATTATTCAACAATATATTCCTGCTAGCCATTTTTCACTAAATGGAGGTGATACAATATGATACAAATTAATGGAAGATAACGCAGCCTTTTATAGTTCAAGTATGCACATCGTCAATGGCAATATTGTTGATCTTGCTATCAACAATAGTTAAGTTGTAGCAATTTTCAATGGTTTGAGGATGTCGGTTTCTTCAAATTTGAATTCGGCGAGTAGCCTAAATCTATTCACTCAATGAGTGTCTCAAGTGGCATGATGACAATAGTTTGATTTAATCAGCTATAAGAGATTTTGTCATATAACACTTAAAAAATACAAAATCTCAAATTTTTAGAGGGGACAACATATGTGAAGAGTGCTTTAATCATAAGGATTATTTTGAATTTTTGGAGAAAATGTATCTTATAATTTTCAAGTATTGATGAAATCTTAGGCTATAATTGAGACAATCATTAAGTGAGTAGATTTAAGCGACCCATCGAATGCAAATGTTCATGTAACAAAATCAATACTTGATTCAAAATGTAATCCAAAACTAAAATGTGTACATATAATTTAAAGGAAAAATTACAAATAGGTCCCACACAATAGAGTTATTTACAAATAAGTGTTATGAAATTCAAAAACTACAACCAAGTCTCTTGAGATTTGAGTATAATTTGTGGTGGGGTGAGAAGACAATACTACCACTATTAATTTGACTCTCACTTACAAGTGCCACTTCAATTCAAAATTTACAAGTAAAAGTTTATAATTCATAAGTCAAATTTCTATGGAGTTAATTCTACCTACTTAAGGCTATAACTAGTTTAATTAGGATATAGGAAAAGTAATAGAGCTCATTTGAGATTTACATATTTAGCCTACGAGTTATTTAAGGTTAGCTTAATTAATAAAACTATTGACAGATAATTTGGCTTTTACTTACAATTGCAACTTTAAAATATACAAGTAAAAAACTATATTAATTCACAAGTTAAATTTCTTATTTAAGAATTTATATAACATGAAATCTCTATTGAATTAATTATGCCTACTTAAGCCCATAATTGGTCTAATAGGGATGTAACGAAAGAATAGAGCTCATTTGGGATTTGCATATTTAACCTAAGAGTTTTTTAAAGTTAGACTTAATTAATTAATAAAGCCCTCAATAGTTGGGGAAAATTACATGTAGATCTTGTACATAGAGCTGAATTATTTGCAAATAAGTTTCGTAAAATTTAAAAATCACAACTTAGTCCCTTGGAACCTTAGTGTAATTTGAAATTGGGTAAAAAGACAATAATGCTCATATTAAATATATATACACTACATCAATCAAATAATTTACAACTATTTCATCAGCAATTTACAATTACAATTTCAACTTTTTACAACTATCACTTCTTATATTCAATAATTAAACCGATCAGTTTAACTATTGAATATGTGAAGTTACATTTGTGAAAACTTGAAGTTATATTTATCAATTACTAATGAAATAGTTGTAAACAATTAATGTTAAACTTTTCTAGTAACAAATGATTGTTTAACTATTAGATATGTGAAGTTACAGTTGTAAAAAGTTGAAATTATAATTATAAATTGTAGATCAAGTAGTTGTAAATTAATTATTTGATTGATGCAACATATGCATGTTTTATAGGGATTTTTTTTGTAGCCTAATTTCAAATTATACTCAATTCCTAAGGAAACTAGCTGCAGTTTTCAAATTTTGCGGAACATATTTGTGAATAAACCTACTCCACGAGACCTATATGTAATTTTGCCTAAGGTTGTGTTTGGATAGGTGGATTTAAGTTGGGAATTTAGATTTAAAATCTCATATTTGAAATCTCACATTTGAAGTTCATAGAGTCTAAATTCTCTGTTTGGATGATATAAAAAATTTCACATTATAATACTAAAATTCTTTATTTAGATTTAAAGTAAAATTTTAAATTTTAAATTCTATATTTGAATTTAAAAGAAACTTGAACGACTAATCAAAGTTGATGGTCCAAATGGCCAACTTCTACCAAAATCGGACAGTCAAAGCCGATTGGGATTATAGCACTAGCAATGACTGGGATGGGACAATGGACTTCTACCGAGACCAAGCTGATAGCAACTGAACGGCTGACATGAAATCGATGAACGGAAAACAAAAGAAGAAGCAACAAAAGGCCAGTAATGAGATTAAATGGAGCACAATAAAACTCTTGTAACCTCTCCTTAACTCTTGTAACTGCCCCTTTATTTTGTTGCTTCAATTTAAGACTCACAATACTATAAATATGACCCTCATTTCCTTTGTAAAGCATCTCAAATTAAAAGCAATAAATATGAGTTTTTTTCCCATTCAGTTTCTGAGCCGTTTTGGTATTAGAGCTGGTCCAGAAAGCAAGATAGTGAGAAACAGTTGAGAGATTACGATGGAGAAGACAGAGATTCAAAGGAGGAGTTCTTGATATCTTCGAGTTTTACAATCTAGGTATTTTTTCAAGAAACTGACATCACCATCATGTTCAAGAGGTCTGAAAACATGGAATAGGAGGTTCCCCATCACTGTACAATGTCTCACACGCCATCACGTGCCACCTACTTGAGTCTCACGCACCTCGCTGCCGATACACGCGCCGCATGTGCCATCAAGAGGTTGAAGATGATGACGTCATCTGCCACGTCATCATTCTGATCTATTAATGACAAGTCAGCCTAATTAGTATCCGCCATGTGTCATATCCACCACATCACACCTGCCCAGTCAGCCCATTTTTTCTAAAATTACAGTTTGACCCCCAAGACTTTTAATATTTCCATTTTGACCCTAAACTTTATGAAATTCCATTTTTAACCCCTAAAGTTTCTAAAATTCCATTTTAACCCTAATTTTTTCCAAGAAATACATTCTTGACCCTTAACTTTACATAAATTCCATTTTGACCCTTATATTTTCCTAAAATTACATTTTAACCCCCATACTTTTTAAAATTTCTATTTTTGCCCCTATACTTTCCAAAAATTCCCATTTGGCCCCTACTTTTCTAAAATTCTCATCTTGCCCTTATGTCCCTTGAACCTTTCTATTTTACTTCTATATCTTTCTAACATTTCCTATTTGTCCTCAAATTCACCAAAATTTTCATTTACCTTAATTTTTCTAAAAAATTTCTTATCCTAGCCTTGACACCTATCAAAATGCCTCCAAGACGCAGGAATGTGCACGAGATTGAGATGGAAGAGATGAGACGTAGGATATGAGAATTGGAAGTTACTGTGGAAATGCAATGAACTCTGTTAAACAATAACAAAGAAAACTTAGGAGGAGATTCGGGAAGCAGCAGTTCATCATCCACTGACAATCATTGCCGTCTATGACAACAACAATTCTGTTCTAATGACATTAAGGTAGACATTCTTGAATTTAAGGGAAGACTCTAGGAAGATGAGTTCATAGACTGGCTTTTGTTGAATGAGTATTTGAATATAAGGAGATTTCAGATGCTCAGAAAGTGAAGATTGTCGCCTTTAAACTCAAGAAACATGCCTCTATTTGTTAGGAAAACCTCATATGGAAGTTAGAACGTGAGGGAAAGCACAAGATTGAGACCTGGGAGAAAATGAGATGCCAACTCATTAGGAAATTTCTACCAGATTATTACCATTAAGATAACTTTCTCCAGCTGTAAAATCTTCAATAGAGGTCTTTATCTATAGAAGAATATACTAGAGAATTTAAACAACTTATGATGAAGTGTGACATTCAGGAGAAGGAGGAGCAAATAATAGCCCGGTACCTTGCAGGATTAAACACAAATATCAGCCATCCAGTCTAGCTTCAGCAGTAGTAGACCTTAGATGATGTAATCTGCCCAGCCATGAGTGTTGAGAAGCAAATGCCCAAAAGATCATTTCTTCCAGCCTACTTTATCTAGGGGTTATTCAGAAGCCCACAAGGCATAATTTCAGCAGACCAACCCCTGAAGCAAGCCACAAACCAGTGCTATGTGTAAGCCATTAGCAAATGCTACTAAGGAATCTGTCTCTAAAGTAATCAAATACTTTAAATGTTAAGGATTTGGCCACATTGCTATGGATTGTCCTACCCGAAAGGTTGTCACTATTAGGGAAGGTCAAGTGTATGAAGCATCTGAAGAAGATGAGGAGGAGATTGAGTTTTATGGCACTAATCTAGTATATAATAAGGGGGTTATGCTTGCTAATCGAGGAGAAGCATTGGTACTTAGACGAAGTCTATATACAACTGTAGTCAAAGAAGAACCTTGGCTATAATGCAACATTTTTCACACTCGTTGCACAGCCCCAGGAAAAGTTTGTAATTGCATTATTGACAGTGGAAGCTGTGAAAACTTAGTATCTGACTACATGGTGGAGAAATTGAAGTTGCCAACACAAGATTATCCGTATCCTTACAAGCT